CTAGATTCAATCTCAACGGATGTCAACTCCCTTAACTCTGCTAACAGGTCAAATTCATGCAACTCCTCCTCTACTTTTTTTAGTTGGTCCTCTACCAGACCAAAAACTTCACTATTCCATTTTTTCAATTCAGCTTTCATACCGCCTAACTTTCTTTGCAGTCTATAACCAGCCCAGCCTTGAACTTGATTCTTTGACCAAGCTTTTTGAGCAACTGAAATGAAACCAGGGTGCAATGTCCAAGCATTAAGGAACCTAAATGGCCTAGGCCCCCAATTCCTCTCATCTTCCATCAACAGAAGTGGGCAGTGATCAGATACCAATCTAGGAAGACCCCACATCTGAAACCTGAACTTTTCCAACCATACTACGTCCAGCAAAAACCTATCAATCTTACTCCACCGCTCTCCCGCCATGGAGTTACACCACGTAAATCTTCTGCCTAACAAAGGAATTTCCACCAACTCCATTTGGTCAATGAAATTATTAAATTCTACCATTCCTCTGTCTCTCCTTGCACAGCCTCTTCTATCCTCTATATTTCTAATAACATTAAAATCCCCTCCCATACACCAGGGCCTTTGGAAACTAGTTCTAATATTACCAAAGGTGTCCCATAACTCTGCTCTTTTTGACACATCATTAGGCCCATACACATTTAAAAAGACACATTCAAAGGAATTAAGAGTTACACCTGATAAGAGCAGGAAATTTCTATGACCGCAACACTCCTGTAGTTGAAACACCTCTGGATTCCATATGCTCAATAGCCCTCCAGCACTACCTTCAGAATCAACCGCCATAAACGCCATCCTCTCCCAAGGCCAAAATGAGCGAACAAACATCTCTTCCATACTACTTTTTTTTGTTTCTTGAAGAAGTAGGACATCCACCTTTCTATCCTGAATAACCTGTCTGACTCTCCGCCGTTTGTCTGCTCTACCCAACCCTCTGACATTCCAAGACATTATCTTCATTTATAACTATTTGATCCCCCAAAGAAACCCCAAGCTTTTAGTCGATTAAGTTTGACCCAGCACACCCCCTATCTCCTTTACCAATCGTTCTTCATCTTGTTGCTCCATCTGAACTATTCTTTGAATTACTTCAGCCTCTTTGCCTTCACAGTTCATCCCCAATCGTTTACCAAGCTGCAGGATTTCTCTTGCTTCCTCCACTCTCTTCTTCCTCCTCCTACTCTCCTGACTTTCTTTAGACACGGACTGAGATAAGACCGCAGCTGCTGCCCTAAAGACAGCTCCTCTATTAAACCCCGATACAAACGAAGTTTGGGTGCTTTGAGTTCTCCTTTTCCCCCTTCCTCTGGTACCTCCAGCTCCACCCATCCTCCTTCGAATACCACCATTTCTCACCACCGATTCTGGTTTGTTGACTGGTTTGTTGACTGTGGGTTGTACATCCTCATTGCTTGGACCGCCTAACACCCTTATTTGGTTCAGCTTGGGCTGGGCTCCAGCACTACGAACTCTGCCAAACCCCCTATTATTGATTAATTCCGTAGGCCCACTTTGATCACCTCTTAACTGAGCCCCTTCTAGCACTAGCTCAATATTGATACTCGGCCCAATTTTATCAGACCCACTAAGGCTTTTAACAAACCCAGGGGTCACAATATCCTCTTCACCCACTACTTCCCCAGACGTTCTTCTTGAAGTCTCCATCTGCAGCTGCACCTGCTCCTCTACCAGATAGCTCACCCCATTGTTTGGTTTCTTCGCCTTCCCCTCAGTAACAAGCAAGCATGTTTCTGGCACCTGACTATCAGAACCTGCACCATTCATCTCACCCCTAGGCTGCACTGCTGCGTAGCTTCCATCTCTTGGTAACATTCTCTTTCTACATTGGTCCACCTCATCACTGCAAGCCACCTCATCATCCCTGACCTCAATCCCTCTTGTCTTCACTATGCTGCCTCTCTGATCCCCTCCAACATTTGAACATCTATCCATCTTCTCCTCACCCTAAAGACCGATGGACATCTTCCACCCATTAACAGAGAAGCTCTTACTGCTCGCTGACATCTCCACAAACTTAGGACATTCACAAACCCTTACTGGGTACAAGACTCCCTTGCAACTCAATCGAACAGTCCTATTGATAAGCTCCATGGATTTTGTGATGACTCGTATTTTCCTACAGCAAAAAGAGACATTCTTGATAGTGTCCTCATGCACCTGCACTACTTCTCCCCATACAGCCCCTATACTTTTGAATGTAGCCACACTCCATAGATTAAATGGGACTCCATAGCAGTTAATCCAAACACACCGTTCTTGGAGGACATAACATCTCGGATCCCACTCCTCCATTGTGCTACACCAGTCAAAAATCCATTCCTTAAGTTCCTCCTTCTGTCTTTTCATCACCATAACTGGGATCCCACTCCTCCATTGAACTACACCAGTCAAAAATCCATTCCTTAATTACCTCTTTCTGTCTTTTCATCTCCATAACTGATGGGAACGTTAGGATTACAAGTCTACCTTCACCGGCTCTCACCACTACCTCCTGAAGACCCCTCTTCTGACATTCCTCTTTGAAAGCTGTAAAGGAAAAGAAGGTATGCAGCTTGATTATCAGGCTTTCATACAGCCACCCATTACCCTCTTCTGAAGCGTGAACCACCACTTCCTCTCGACCCTGCGCCAGCCCTTTTCCAACTACCTCCGCATATGATTTTGGCCCTCCAAGGTCCTGCTTAGTCTGCTTACCTCCTCTGTGATCAGCCCAGTGACTGTTCCGAACCATATTTTGAGCCCTCTGGTTGGTGCCCTCAGACTGTTTGATTTTTCCAGGATCTTCCCTCTTGAACTCAGCCCCTTTAACCCTCAGTGCTTTATCATCACACCACAGCCCATCCGCTCTTTGAACTGCCATCTCAGCTGCAACCGAACAATCGTACCTTACGAAGCCAAACCTCGAACCAGTGATCTTTCTCCTTTTCTTTGGGATAAACACATCCTTAACAATGCCAAACTTTGCAAACAACTGAAATAGGCTTTTCGGATTAATTGATTCAGGGATGTTATCCACAAATGCTGTAAATAGTTTCCCTCCCTGTGAGTCCCTTATAGCCTTTATCATTCCTCGTCGACGAAATACCGGTTGCCAACCTCCACGAGAGACCATGACTGGTTTTTTATGAGACTTATACACATTATATATATATATATATATATATTTTAACTAGTCAAAATCTTTTTGAAGAAGATAACAATTTAAAAACTAAGTATATTTTGATGAATTAAATTGGTTAAGTTGCTCTAACTACCCCCTTCTAATTATTTTGATTTGAACATTTCATCTCTTTTGTGAACATTACATATATTATTATTATTATTATTTCTGGAGAAACTATTGACTAGCTATGAGATGAGGTTCTACTTGGGAAAATTTTGAATTATGGTTCTAATGTTTAAGAGCTTTCTTAAAGAAAAGAAAGAAAGAAAATGACAAACAAAAGAAGTGCAAGGTTTGGATGTGCCTGCCATTCATGTCATGTTTGGTGCTTGTGATAAAGCCCTAGCCAATGACATTAAAATATAATGGAAGTAATTCATATTCATCCAAATAAATAATCAATATTTTATTTTTATTAAAATTTCTAGCGGCAGCTCCACAAGTTGAAGCAAGGAACTACCAAAAACAAAACAAAACAAAAAAAAATGGGCAACACTTTTGAAAAGAGTCGAAAACAAAACAAAAAAACCAACTGTCCCGCAGCTGTCCAAATCTCTGCTCCAATCCCCATCCCAGAGCTCATCACCATGATTCTAAGGTACGTAAGCACGATGAATGGCTTTGAGACTTTGTCCCTACACTGCTGGAAATCAGGGTTTTAGAGGCGTTTGAAAAATGCCGCTATAAGTCTTAAAAACGCCGTCAAATCTTTTTGTGGCGTTTAGCACTAAACGTCGAAGATGCGGCCGTCGCTATAACTCTATGGCGCTTTAAAAACGTTGCTATATTACTATAGGCGGCGTTTTATAAAAACGCCGTTAAAAGTTCTACTAATTGTAACATGACGTCACCATGCTATTTAGCGACGTTTTTAAAACGCCACCACATCTCTTTTTCCCAACTATTTAACGACGTTTTTAAAAACGCCGTGATAGCCCTTTCTTTAAAAAAAAAATTGTGCTAATTTTTTTAAAAAATACCTATAATAAAACTAAAATAGTACTAATATAAAATAATAACCCCCATTCATATAGTAAAATCTTATAAAATGATAGTCCACAATCATTGTGCAAAAACAAAACATTCACATAAATCAAACGGTGTATGTTACACAAAAATATTTCATATTTCTCGCACCCTAGAAATCTTCATATGGTCATTGGAGAGTTACTGAGTTAAGAATAAGTCATCAATGCAAATAAACTCTCTATTTCAAATACAAGAACCAACAAAAAAAAATTAAAAAATTAAAAAATGTCATAACAACTGATAGTAATATTAGTCCTCGGACTACCAGGTCACCAGCTAAAGTAGCAAACACCAGACTTTCTTGTCCATCAGCATTCTTCTTTAGATCTGCCAATCTGACGGCGCTAACAAAAGCAATCTTGCATACCACCACACATTTTGGATCAGGAGAACCACCAGGGACAAGCTGCATTACGCACAAAATGTTAGAATTGTAGAATACAAAATCAATAGGACTCAGCTTCTCAAACAAAATCAATAGCACACAGACACCATGCAAAAGAAATTTAGGGATTCAAACGACTATTTTGGCAAAAAATCATTACAAGATCTTGAACTTCCATCACAACATAAAAGCAGAATCATAGTACCTATGAATCTTGCTGAAATAAGAAGTTGGTTTGCTCCATCCCACTAATCTAGAGAACTGCAAGGAAATCAATATTTCAGCATGTATAGAAAACCGTTAGCAGTAATAAAACATATCGTACTAAATAATCCAACCCAACAGCATGTTTCTTGGCAGATTTAAATGCATAACCAAAACAGAAGTAAACCTTCTGTAGGCAGATTTGCATGCATATTGGCAGATTGAAAACCTATACTGGACCCAAGCCAGAAGCTGTTTGGATGTGTTCTTTAGCAGAAGGTTCATCCTGAGGTTTCATGGCCGGAAAGAGTAGAACTTCCTGTCCCCAAACCAAAAAACAAAACAATTGACACTTGAGTAAAAAAGCTCAGTCGAAAAAACTTTCTATTGTAGAATGTGAAACTTCCCACGTCCAGCCAAACACACCCAACACCAACCCTAACCCCACCAAGCCAACACTACCAATAATTAAACAAATGAAAAATCACCAGCAAGGAAATCCAAAACCATAAACTGATAACACATGAACATTTCACACAAACCACACAAAGGTAAAACACAAACCTTGATGTTCTGCGAATCTGTCATCATCATTGTTAGTCGGTCAATACCCAGTCCCCAACCACCAGTTGGGGGAAAACCATACTCGAGAGCCGTGCAAAATGTTTCATCCAAAGCCATTGCTTCATCATCACCTGATTGTCGGTCCTGAAATTTAATCATACAAAAATCTTCAGTCAAGGCACCCCACACAACATGACTTTACATGCCACAATGATTCAATTCCTAATGATCATAATACCTTGAGTTGGTCAGCAAACCGTTGGCATTGTACCACAGGATCATTCAACTCCGTGTATGCATTGCAAACCTACGTACAGAACATAGATGGCATGCAAGGAAAAAATATAAATATAAGTATATATATGAGCAGGAAATTTCTATGACCGCAACACTCCTGTAGTTGAAACACCTCTGGATTCCATATGCTCAATAGCCCTCCAGCACTACCTTCAGAATCAACCGCCATAAACGCCATCCTCTCCCAAGGCCAAAATGAGCGAACAAACATCTCTTCCATACTACTTTTTTTTGTTTCTTGAAGAAGTAGGACATCCACCTTTCTATCCTGAATAACCTGTCTGACTCTCCGCCGTTTGTCTGCTCTACCCAACCCTCTGACATTCCAAGACATTATCTTCATTTATAACTATTTGATCCCCCAAAGAAACCCCAAGCTTTTAGTCGATTAAGTTTGACCCAGCACACCCCCTATCTCCTTTACCCAGCGTTCTTCATCTTGTTGCTCCATCTGAACTATTCTTTGAATTACTTCAGCCTCTTTGCCTTCACAGTTCATCCCCAATCGTTTACCAAGCTGCAGGATTTCTCTTGCTTCCTCCACTCTCTTCTTCCTCCTCCTACTCTCCTGACTTTCTTTAGACACGGACTGAGATAAGACCGCAGCTGCTGCCCTAAAGACAGCTCCTCTATTAAACCCCGATACAAACGAAGTTTGGGTGCTTTGAGTTCTCCTTTTCCCCCTTCCTCTGGTACCTCCAGCTCCACCCATCCTCCTTCGAATACCACCATTTCTCACCACCGATTCTGGTTTGTTGACTGGTTTGTTGACTGTGGGTTGTACATCCTCATTGCTTGGACCGCCTAACACCCTTATTTGGTTCAGCTTGGGCTGGGCTCCAGCACTACGAACTCTGCCAAACCCCCTATTATTGATTAATTCCGTAGGCCCACTTTGATCACCTCTTAACTGAGCCCCTTCTAGCACTACCTCAAGATTGATACTCGGCCCAATTTCATCAGACCCACTAAGGCTTTTAACAAACCCAGGGGTCACAATATCCTCTTCACCCACTACTTCCCCAGACGTTCTTCTTGAAGTCTCCATCTGCAGCTGCACCTGCTCCTCTACCAGATAGCTCACCCCATTGTTTGGTTTCTTCGCCTTCCCCTCGGTAACAAGCAAGCATGTTTCTGGCACCTGACTATCAGAACCTGCACCATTCATCTCACCCCTAGGCTGCACTGCTGCGTAGCTTCCATATCTTGGTAACATTCTCTTTCTACATTGGTCCACCTCATCACTGCAAGCCACCTCATTATCCCTGACCTCAATCCCTCTTGTCTTCACTATGCTGCCTCTCTGATCCCCTCCAACATTTGAACATCTATCCATCTTCTCCTCACCCTGAAGACCGATGGACATCTTCCTCCCATTAACAGAGAAGCTCTTACTGCTCGCTGACATCTCCACAAACTTAGGACATTCACAAACCCTTACTGGGTACAAGACTCCCTTACAACTCAATCGAACAGTCCTATTGATAAGCTCCATGGATTTTGTGATGACTCGTATTTTCCCACAGCAAAAAGAGACATTCTTGATAGTGTCCTCATGCACCTGCACTACTTCTCCCCATACAGCCCCTATACTTTTGAATGTAGCCACACTCCATAGATTAAATGGGACTCCATAGCAGTTAATCCAAACACACCGTTCTTGGAGGACACAACATCTCGGATCCCACTCCTCCATTGTGCTACACCAGTCAAAAATCCATTCCTTAAGTTCCTCCTTCTGTCTTTTCATCACCATAACTGATGGGAACGTTAGGATTACAAGTCTACCTTCACCGGCTCTAACTAATAGCTCCTGAAGACCCCTCTTCCGACATTCCTCCTTGAAAGCTGAAAGGGAAAAGAAGGTATGCAGCTTGATTATCAGGCTTTCATACAACCACCCATTACCCTCTTCTGAAGCTTGAACCACCACTTCCTCTCTACCCTGCGCCACACCTTTTCCAACTGCCTCCGCATATGATTTTGGCCCTCCTAGGTCCTGCTTAATCTGCTTTCCTCCTCTGTGATCAACCCAGTGCCTGTTCCTGACCATATTTTGAGCCCTCTGATTAGGTCCCCCAGACTGGTTGATTTTGTCAAGGTCTTCCCTTTTGAACTCAGCCCCTTTAACCCTCAGAGCTTTATCATCACACCACAGCCCATCCGCTCTTTGAACTGCCATCTCAGCTGCAACCGAACAATCGTACCTTACGAAGCCAAACCTCGAACCAGTGATCTTTCTCCTTTTCTTTGGGATAAACACATCCTTAACAATGCCAAACTTTGCAAACAACTGAAACAGGCTTTTCGGATTCATTGATTCAGGGATGTTATCCACAAATACTGTAAATAGTTTCCCTCCCTTTGAGTCCCTTGTAGCCTTTATCATTCCTCGTCGACGAAATACCGGTTGCCAACCTCCACGAGAAACCACCTCATCCATTGATGGTGTGTACCTGGAGTTTATATACTTACAAAAGCTCTCTTAAAGTTTCAATGTGGGATATCTAATTTAAAGAAACTCACATTTAACTCTTCAACTTCTCATTCCACGAACCCGAAAACGACATCAACTTTCTATTCACTCATAAATGGTTTTGACGAATCGTTTAACCTCTGTGACTTACCATGCAATAAGGACCACGTCACATTTTTGGACCAACCTCAAAAGATATGTAGGCTCCACTCAAATTTAGGCTCAAAATTTGTCCAAAATAAATCTATAAAACCCATAATTTCCAGCAAGAGATTCTAGCAATCTAGAGAGAGAAATTAGTTTTGTTTTTGTGAGAGAAATGTCGAAAGTAGTGAGTGAAGAGGGACAGACACACCATGGAAAGGAGTACGTGGATCCACCGCCAGCACCGCTGATGGGCATGGAGAAGTTGAAGCTGTGGTCCTTCTACAGAGCACTGATCTCAGAGTTCACAGATCATGATCTTCGTGCTGGATCTGCGTACCGGAGACAGCGTTGCGGTCGATGTTCTGGTGCCGTGTTCCACCGCAGTAGCAATGCAGTACGGAGGAGGAGGAAAACGATGATGGAAGGAGGAGGAGTCGACGGTAGAATGTAGAGCAATTCCAAAACACTGACAATAATACAACTAAAAAACAAGAAAACAAAATTTGAAAAGACGGAAAATTTCAAAAGGAAATTACTTATCAGTTCAAAAGGAAAGAAAAAATTACACAAATTCACTACTAAATTACTTCTACTTTTTTGTTTTTGTAATTTTTTTTTTCCTCTATTGTATTGTTAAATAATTTCCTCAAAATTTTGTGCATAACTTTTTTTTAAAAATAATTCCGAAACATATCTATATATCAAAGATCGACCAATACGAAATAAATAATTAACCCTTGCCATAGGGAAGAAATTGAACCCTTGACCTCTAAGTTTAGTTTACATAAGTGGTCAACTAAACTATAGCTCAGTTGATTTTTGCCCTTTAATTGTTTATAATATATTAATTTAATTTAATTTAATTAATAATATACATTCAATAAATTAGTCGACATAGTCAATTCAAAAGGGAACAAACTCTGTCAATTTGGACGTCAATCCAAATGAATTCTTTTGCCTATTAATTTTAGCACAATTTCTAAAGGGGAATTGAGCTTTTCTTGTATCTAATCAATAAATTTTTGAAGATTTCAGACCAAACATCGAAATGATATTTTATTTAATTAATAAGCTTTTGAAAAGTTGAAAGTTTCAACAATAAGAATTTTTTAATCAGCAATGCTAGGTATTATGAAAAACGTTTCATGAAAATAATCATGAAAGTTTTGTGACTCTTGAATTACACTTAAAATAAAGTATCACACACTAATCAAGGTAATGCAAGGATCATAACTTCTTCATGAACATTTTTATGAAAAAAATTTCATGATCCCTAACTTTTCTCTTTTTTGATAGT